TGAAGCTTGGCCTGCAAGCTGTTTAATATTTTATATATTCTAGTTAAGTATTTAATATATATATATAACGTAGCAATTTATATTTTAACTTAGGACTTATTTTATTTCTATAGATATGTTGATTCCCTTTATTCCTTGCTTATTTCAATCTTCTTATTTTTTTAATTAATTTCTTTTTAATCTGTTGCTCCTTTTTCATGCATGTATATATATATATATATAACAATTTAACACACATAGGTATAGATGCAATTATGTTGGCAAAATATATAACCACATGTACTTAGATATTGTTCTTAACCAATACATGTATAATTAGATGTTTTGAAATGACATATATGTTTCATTTACAATATATACATATATAAATATCGAGATTCAAGAATATAGCATCATTTTATTCATTCGCAGCTTGCATTCTTCCTTTTTTAATTTATTACCTTTTTTTAATCAATGGTTGTATTCTTTCTCACTGACAGTTAAGTACTAAATGAAACAATATAAATGAAAATATGTCGAGTGTTATTGTATGTAGATTGTTTTTGTTTTGTGGTATCATAATGGAGTTTTTTGGGCACCCCGATCCCATCTAACAAACTTTATAATTTATTAAAAGTCAGGTTTTATTTGTAACTTTAAATTTTTTTTTTTTGGCTAAAGCATAGGTATCCTCTTATTAGAAGTAATCCTATTCAAAGCACTGTCAGACATTAAATGTGGGCATCTCTCCCAACAGGGATTCAAACCTTGGCTCATCACGTTATGAGGGACTGGCTCTTTCCGCTGGACCCAACTCTCGTTGGTCATTTGTAACTTTAATGATATGTAGACTTTAAATATATAACATTGAAAGCATGTCAAATGTAGGCTTTAATGGGTTCAGGGTCTACTTATGCCTCTCAAGGTCCAAATATGAGACCTTTCTAAAGGCTTACATTGTAAATAGGCCATTAAAAAGGCTTTAGCTTGATAGGATTTTTGAAAGCTGAGGCTTAAGCCTTAAAAAAGCCTGTGTACAAGCTCATGCCTAGCTTCAAGGCTTTAGGCCCCTGTAACAAGCTCAGACTTATTTGGTCAAAACCTAGCCTTGGTATCCTATTTCCATCTTTAATCCCACTTGCTTTAATAAAAAAAAAAAAATAAAATTGTTCTAAAAACCCAATAACATGAGAAGTAAAAAAAATTATCTTATTAAGTGTTTATTAGTATGTATAATTTTTTTAATAATAGTATTTTAACTCTTTCCATTTTGATAATTGTATTTTTTTTAATTTATCAAATTATGTAAATATAATGCACACACCGGTCCAATTGAACCTGGTATTGCTCAAATATAAACCAATATAGCCATATTAATATATAATAGATTTGTAGTTAATAAAATCACATTTTTTTAGTCATTTTATATCTAAACTTACTTTTTATTTATCATCTAAATAAGTTTTAATTTATTAAAATGATTTTTTTTTCAAAAGTCAATATAAACATAAATCACGTTACATTATTAATGAACTTATACTCTAATTTACGTTTTATAAAAATAAAGTTTAAGGGGATATGACAAATTGACAGTTTGGGGTTATTTGTATAGACTTTAAAGTTTGGGTTAATGAACGAGAAAAGAAGACCCGGCCAAGATGATAAAAACAAGAGAGCAGAATAATAGACCAACAACAAAGACAACAAAACAAACTAACATAACAAGAACAAAAATAGGCATGCAAAATTATGAAAATTAAAGCGGGGCTGAATCTGATTCTAGTCCTTAATTCTTGCAAAGTTTGATACTTCTTATATTTTATATTGATTTTTTAATTCTCTACTAATGTATTAAATGTATTTATTTATGTAAAAAGATCCCAACTGATATAGATTGTGATGCAATGATATGATCACTCTTGTCTCGTATACATCCACATCGACTCTTAGGGCCAGGCCATGCGTAAGAAAAACGTCCTTTTCATTTGATTCTCCTGTCTAATTCTCTCTCTCCCCTCTGAATTTCAACTTTCAAGATCCACACAACTTCTTAACCACAAATAAATTTTTTTATCAATCTTTTGACCACACAATTGGCAGATCATAAAATTGAACTTTAAATATTCCTAACACAATCACAGAAACGTGTATATTCGTTTGGGGGGCCATTAACCCGAGTCGTGATCGGTGCTTAGGTTAAACCAAAATAATTCTGCTTAACCTAGCAAGCCTAAACAAATTCATAAATATCAAGATCTTCAAAACAATGATATTTTGACACCATCATAGTAGTCATGACAATACGGGATCTCACAAGATGCGGTTTTTTTTTTTACCAAAATACTATAAACAGTAAAATTATTTACCAATATATTGCACTTTTAAAAGTATTTATCAATATGCTGCACTCAAAATCATTCTTGGCAAGAATGACTTTCAAATTATATACAAGTCATTCTTTGCATCATTCTTGGCTTGAACGATTTCACTTTTTTCCTATTCACTCACCATGCTAGAGAATCTTTGTCAATTTTACATGCAAGAATAAGAATCTTTGACACTATGACACTCTGCCAAATTTTCCTATTCACTTTTTTCCTATTCCCATGAGGCTACAGGATTGTTTGTGGTTTTATATATATTACATATGAATTATTTCATCTCCTACTCTCTTCTTCTTCTTCTTCTTCTCCTCCTCTTACTTCATCTCTAAAATATGAGCTCTCTTCTTCTCACTTGCTTTATTTTTATTATTCTCTTGCTTTGTTATTTTTTCACCCTTGCTTCCAAACAAGACAAGCTCTCTTATTGTTACTGTGAGTATGTTGTTTCTTTTCTATTTTTTCTTTTAAAAAATTTGCAGCTGTGATATAGAATTTGATTTTTCACCCATACTACCCTTGATGAATTAATATTTCATTATTGTAATTTTCAGGAGGTGAGTAGTGGGTTTAACAATTTGAAATATTTGTACTCTTTCTAAGCTATGTTCCTCTTATTTTAACAGTAAAACTATCGTCTGTTATGTTGTTTTGAGATGTTAAGATTTTGGTATAAGCTCCAAATTTTTTTTAGTATATGATTATTATTTTTTCTTATGAAAGTATACTTCTCTAGGAATTTAAATTTGGTAAGATAAAACTGAAAAATAATTATATATACAGCCTAAATATCAAATATGTGGTGTACATTAAGTTGGTAAATTAAAAAAAAAAAAAAGAAAGAAAGTGTTCTACCCACTTCTAATGAATTATTGCTTTCATATATCTTTTAGGTAAAAATAAGGTGTAAGTAATGAAAAATTGAAATGAATGAAGGGCACTCATAATTTCTTTTTTTTATTTTGCCTTTTCCATGCTATTTGCTATGTTGCATTTTTTAATTGGTGGTAACATGTCATGATATGAGTGTCTTGAATCAAGAATAAAATATTCTGACTATCCTTCTAATTTGCATCAATTACATAGATCTTCTCTCTATTTTAAAAACATACAGTTTAGTTCAATTGGTTAACATTGTTAGTAGGAGTATTCTAAAAAGATTCTAAAAAAATTATTTTTAACTAAAATTTATATTAAAATAAAATTTATTTACTATTTTACTTCTGATTCTAATAAATTCCTAAATTATATTTTTATAGTTACATTAATTTCATTCAGTTAAGGCAAAAATAAAAGATTTGATTAAAACCTTAACTAATTTTTTTTAATAAATATATATATTTAACTAAATATGTTTATAAATCTTTGTAATAAAGAAGTGTTTAAAAGTTTTGAATTATAAATTTAAATAATTTATAAAATCTTTTAAACTTATATCATTTAAATTCTATGATAAATATAAACTAGGAATTTGAAATATATTTTTACAATTTAAAAGAAATCAAAGTAAATAAGTTTTAATGAATGTGATAAACTAGAGAAAAAATCTTTATTTTTAATCCTTCATTTCAACTCAATGATTTTGGCCTAAAAGATTTTAGCCCAATTAAATTTTACAAAAATAATGAAATAATAAATAGGTATTATAAGGTATAAATAATATATGTATACATAAAATTAAAAAAATCTTCATGATATGTTAATTATTAAAATAATATTACAAGAAAGAAACAAAAGGGAAAAAAATCTCTATTTCTTAAACTTATTTTTTTATTTTAATTACAAAGAAATAATTTACAAAAAATGATTAAAAAATTCTAAAGATTATTAAATTTGTAATCAAATTTGTTTACTATACTTTAACAGAGTTTGACAATAATAGCAATAACACATCTTTTATAGTAGTTCCTAATTTGGGATTATGCAGTTTTCATTATGTTTTTTTCCTTAGATATGGATTGCATTGTGTGTTTGGTTATATAGGATATTCTAAGCTAATAATAAATATTGATTTTGCAAAAAAGTAATGGTATAGTGGAGTTAATTTATTTGTATAACTTAATCTTGCTTGACTAATGATTATAATAAAATGATTAGCAACTAGAATGGATCACAGAAAGGAGTTCGTCTGTGTATTCGCAAATGGATGAATGTTTAATGGCCCAGCCAGTGTAACATTTGAGTCTAATAATGTGAAAATTATCAAAGTTGATGAAAATATTACCTTGGACAAATTAAATCAAGTTGTTGGACGAAAGTTACGACTTCCTCCTCATCAAAACGTGACAAATTTAGTATATAAATATCCTCCATGTATAAATCCACCATAATACCAAGCATGCAATTTGGAAGATGATACAGATATAAAACAAATGTGGTAAGTGACCATAAGATTTTCAATTCAATTAACATGTGCAGAGTTGTATGCTAACATATGTGATTTACCAGATAATGGCCATGTTGAGTCACAACCCATAGGTGATTATGCAAGAAATATGCTCCCATCAAGTAGCAATAGGATGAACATTATGAAACAAGAATATGTTTAGTGATTACATGAAAAATTTTCAACCATTTGAACCCACCATAGGTGGCGGGAACATTGTATCATCATGTTCTCTTCCTCACATAGAAGATATCATGGATGAATCAGAGGATGTAGAAGAATATGATTCTTATTTAAATACTAGTAATAGGGATGATAATGGTGACAACAACAATGAATATGACAAGATGAACGAGCAAAATCAAGTTGCAAATGCTTTATTGTCACAAATTCATGTTGAGTCAGGTACAACTCCTGAGTTTGGTGAATTAGAAGATATTCTACATGTTAGTAATAATAAAGAGTTAAATATTGGGAAAATATTTAGCAATGTCTAAGTTTTAAGACATGCAGTCAAGCTATATTCTGTTCATGTTCATCATACATTTAAGGTCTATTATTCTTGTAAAAAGTATGAAGAATATCATTGTGTTAACTATGAAAAAAATTACAATTGGAGAGTGAGGGCTTATAAAAAGAAAAGTAGGAACTATTGGCAAATTATAAAATATGAGGGGCTTCACACATGCTTGAGCACGTCATTAACTCAAGACCATCCAAAGTTGGACATAGATGTTATATCATCCTATATTGTGGCAATGGTAACTAACAAACCAGATATGAAAATGTCACAAATTATTGAGAGGATACAATCAATGTTCGGTTATACTGTGTCATATAGGAAAGCATGGAAGGCAAAACAGTTAGCAATTGCAATTGCTTTTTGGAAATTGAGAGACCTCATATTCCTTACTCCTAATGTGGTTAGCTGCAGTTCAACACCTCATACTTGTTGCTCAATCCCAAGTTGGATGGCAACCACCACATGGACATCATGTTTTTTGTCTACGACGTGTGGCTTCAAATCTTCACAAAGCACATGGAACGAATTTGGTAAAAGAGAAGTTTATAAATATTGGTGAGATTTCTTATGCTTTTTATGATCTTATAACTATATGATTTTATAATCATTCTAACAAGTACTAATAATAATATGTAGGGTATGCTTATGAATGTCATGTTGTTGATAAAGAATTAGCAGAAATAGCATTGCACCATACTCCTACAGCTAGATGGATCAGAGCCATCCCAAAAGAGAAATGGTCACGTGCATATGATCTTGAAGGTTGTCGTTTTAGACACATAACAACCAATCTTGCACAGTGTATGAATAATGTATTTAAAGGTGTTCAAAGTTTACCAATAACAGGTTTAGTTAAGGCAACCATGTATAGAGTCAATAATTATTTTCTGAAACGTGCCCAACAAGTTCATGCCCAAATTATGGTTGGTAAGGTATTTTCTGAGATAATGACAAAGAAGTTAAACATAGCAACACAAAGTGCATCTGCTCACTACTAGAAAAAAGACTTTTAACATCGCAAAATAATGGCGGTTAAGCAGAAAAACGACGTGGAAAAAAACGTGGTGGCATTTTTGTAAATAAGTTGAAGAGGGCTACATTTTCCACGGCGGTTTTCTTAAAAACCGCCGTGGAAAGTAAACCGCCGTGGAAAGTGTGTCTCTTTACCTTTCTCTGCTTCAACTTTGATCACTTTCTTTCTCATTTCTTCAGTTTGCCGTGGTCCCCCTCTGCCCCACCACCAAAAAACTGCCATTACCGGCCATTCCCGCCACTATCCCACCGTTTAAACTCCTCCATTGAGCTTGTGGTGCCTTGCCGCCGTCCGCCGCCGTCGAACGCCTCTCATTTCGCGTCATTCTTGCTCAGCCGTGGTCCCCTCTGTCCCACCACCGAAAACCGGTCATACCCCCTACTATCCCACCGTTTAAACTCTTGCATTGAGCTTGTGGTGCGTTGCCGCCGTCCGCTGCCGCCCTCACTTCGCGTTTGAAGCTTCTCTGCTCTGTGAGTATCCTCTTCTTTCATTCTTTTCAATTTTTCTTGGTTTGTTGAATGTTTTGGCCATGAAAATTTGTTATATATGAAATGGGTTTGTTAGTTTTACATTGTGGTTGGCTTGTATTGTTCATTTTTTATGTGGTTGAACCATTGATTGGTGTTGATTGGTGGGCATTGGATGTGAGAAAACCTTAATTCCTTTTTATATATTGTATTAGAAACATGTTTAAATGTTTGGAGTTGATTAGTTGTGAAGTTTTTAAATTTTTTTATAATTTTTTGATATTTATTTCGAATTTTTGGTAATTTTGTTGTAATAAATATAAGAATTTAGTAATAAATAATCTGTTTGTTATTTTGTGTTTTTTTTCTTCGTTATGAATTTTGATTGATAGTAAAGTGTTGTTTAAATAATCTGTAGAACAATGGATCGTAGTTGGATGAAAGCTAAGAGAATTAGCAAGGAATATGAGGATGGGGTTGAAAAGTTTCTTGAGTTTGCTCAGAGAAATGCCCCTAGTAAAAGAGATGGATTATACTATTGTTCTTGTGTCAAATGTTTAAACAATAGTCGACGGAGTATTTCTGAGATAAAAGAGCATCTTATCCGTGATGGGATAAATTTGAGGTATACAAATTGGATATGGCATGGAGAAATTAGAAAGACTACATTGTCTGCAAATGAGAAGGTTGTGAATAAAGACTTTGGTGATAGAATTTCGGATATGTTTCGTGATATAAGGTCTGAATCCTCTACACAGTTTTCTTCCACCTTTGAAACTTTGTGTAGTGATGCAGAGACACCTTTATACCCGAGGTGCAAAGATGATTACACAAGATTGACAACCGTATTGAAATTGATGAATTTGAAGGCAAGAAATGGTTGGACCGATGCTAGTTTTACGGAATTGCTTGAATTGCTGAGTGATATTCTTCCTAAAGGGAATTCACTTCCGAAACGAATGTATGAGGCAAAAAAGATTTTGTGTCCGATGGGTTTGGAATATGAGAAGATACATGTGTGTCCTAATGACTGCATATTATTCAGAAATGATTATGAAGGGTTGAATAAGTGCCCTAAATGTGGGACTTCAAGATACAAAATGAAGAAAGATGATGGTGATTATAATGAGATGACCAAAGGTTCTCCTTTAAAGGTTCTGTGGTATCTTCCAATAATACCACGATTTAAGCGTCTATTTGCTAATGCCACAGATGCAAAGAACTTGAGATGGCATTTCGATGAGAAAATATGTGATGGAAAGCTTCGTCACCCAGCAGATTCTCCTCAATGGAAAACAATAGATCAAAAATTTCCTCAATTTGGTGGCGAGCCAGGAAACCTTCGGCTAGGGCTTTGTACGGATGGAATTAACCCATATGGTAATCTTAGTAGCACACATAGTGCTTGGGCAGTGCTCCTCGTAATTTACAACTTGCCTCCTTGGTTATGTATGAAAAGAAAGTATATCATGCTATCTTTGATAATCTCGGGGCCAAAACAACCGGAAAATGATATCGATGTGTATTTGGCACCTTTGATTGAGGATCTGAAGAAATTATAGGAGGAAGGTGTTAATGTGTTTGATGCATATAAACAAGAGACCTTCAATTTATGTGCCATGATCTTCACCACGATAAATGACTTTCCAGCATATGGAAATTTGTCATGATACAGTGTTAAGGGCCATAAAGCATGCCCGATATGCGAAGAAGGCACCCACTATATGCAACTTAAACATGGCAGGAAGACAGTATACCTTGGTCATAGAAGGTTTCTTAGTCAGTATCACCCTTACCGTAGATTGAAAAAGGCATTTAATGGCTCACAAGAATATGAAATGGCTCCAAGACCATTAACTGGAGAAGAAGTTTATCAGCGGGTGGAGGGAATTAATGTGGTCTTCGGTAAGAAGAAGAAGAAGAAGACTGCCGGTGAGAGAAATATATGAAAAAAAAGATCTGTCTTTTTTGATCTTCCATATTGGCAAAGTCTTGATGTGAGGCATAGTCTAGATGTGATGCATGTGGAGAAGAATGTATGTGAGAGCCTTGTTAGTACACTTTTGCATATAAGTGGAAAGACTAAAAATGGAATCAATACAAGACGAGACTTAGTCAAAATTGGAATAAGAAATGTCCTTCACCCACAAGAAAGAGATGGTAAGAGGGCTTATTTACATCCAGCTGCGCACACATTATCAAAAGAAGAGAAAAGAAGTTTCTGTGGTTTTGTCAATAGTATTAAGGTGCCACAAGGTTATTCTTCTAATTTAAGCAAACTTGTTTCAATGCAAGATTTGAAGATAACGGGAATGAAGTCTCATGATTGTCATGTGTTGATGCAACAATTACTTCCACTTGCTATTCAAGGCATTATGAAAACCGATGTGAGAAATACTATTACAAGACTTTGTATGTTTTTTAGTGCCATTTGCAGCAAAGTCATTGATCCTGTTGAGTTGGATGAATTAGAAAATGAAGGTTATGTGATCCTCTCTCAATTGGAAATGCATTTTCCTCCATCATTTTTTGATATTATGGTCCACTTGATAGCTCATCTTGTATGAGAGATAAGACTTTGTGGCCCTGTGTGTTTAAGATGGATGTATCCTTTTGAGAGATACATGAAAATCCTAAAAGGGTACTCTAAGAATCCTTATCGGCCTAAGGCATCAATTGTTGAGAGATATGTAGCTGAGGAGGCAGTTGAGTTTTGTAACGCATATCTTGATAGGGTAAAGGCAGTTGGTCTTCCTCAATCTCAACATGATCAGAGGAGAAGAATCAAGGGAACACGGGGTGTCATAGTGAGGTCTATGTCAAGAGAAGTTGTAATGCAGGCACATCTATACATTTTAAACAACACGGATGAAGTTTTGCCTTACTTAAATGCTCACAAGAATATGCTGAGGAACTTGAATTCAAGAAAGAGTGATATGCAACTAGCTAATGAACATAATAAGTCATTTGCAGAGTGGTTCAAGCGAGAAGTGTTAAAAGATGGCAATCCTTCTGAGACAATACAGAGGTTAGCTGCAAGGCCTTCTTTTGAGGTTTTGTGTTGGGGTGGATATGATATAAATGGTTATTCTTTTTACACAAAACCCAAGACGATAAGAGTACTATGCAGAATAGTGGGGTGATGGTAGTAGCGGAAGCCATGCATTTTGCTAGTTCTAAAGACAGAAACCTAATGTTGGTGGCAATGTCCTATTATGGAATAATAGAAGAGATATGGGAGGTTAGTTATACCAAGTTTAAAGTTCCCGTCTTCAAATGTAAGTGGGTTAATAGTAATGCTGTGCAAGTGGATGAAGAATTTGGATTTGTTTTGGTCGATCTTGAGAGGTTTGGATATGGAGACGAGCCATTTATTTTGGCAAGTCAAGCAAAACAAGTGTTCTTCGTTCCCGATCTAGCAAAAAAGAAATTGTCTATCATGCTTCAAGGTAAAAGGCAAGGAGTTGGTGGAGATGATGGTGACTTAGAGCTTAATCTTGATGAAACCCCGCCTTTCACAGCTACTCGACCTAAAGCAGTTGAATTAGATTTGGTAGATGATGACTATGCTGTTAGAGATGATTATTGTGAAGGAATTTGGGAGGATAATCATTGTAAGCCTCAAATGAATTATTTGATTTTTTTTGCTAAATATACTTAATAATATAATATTTTATATTAACTTGATATTTCTTATTCTTACATTTATTAATTCGTTGTTCTTTAAATAGGAAATGGACGGATCCGGTCAACAGGGTTCTGGTGACGACAGCTCTTTTACTAGTCGGAGAAAGGGTAGAGGGCCAACCCATATGAGGCATTTAGCTTTACGTGATGAGAGCACACAACCTATGAGGATTATAGTGGAGTTTGATGATGATCTGAAGCCTATAGGAAAGGCTGGGGCTCAATTTACTAGTTATATGGGTTATCTCGCACGCAATAAGATTAGCATTGACATTCCTAGCTGGAAGAAGGTGGACAAAGATTTGAAGAAAAACCTTTGGGAGGATATATTGGTATATTGTGCATTGTTTTCTCTACTTGTTTCAATTATAGTTGCTTATTTACTTTATAACTCTATGCTATTATTGTATTGCAGCTGACATTTGATATTCCTGCCACTAAGCAAATGAGAGATCGTCTGTTGAAGCAACTTGATGAACGGTGGAGGGATTTTAAGGCCACGCTTACAAAACATTATATTCGTGGAAAAAGAAAGGGTGAGCATCCTAAGGAACGATATTCATTTATTAGTGAAGAGGCATGGGAGAGTTTTGTGAAGCAACGTGAAGACCCTGCATTTCAGGTTTGGTTTCTTCAAACTTAATTTTTAATCAGGTCATATTTTATTTAACTAAACTAATTTTGTCGATTTGGTTTCATTGTCATAGGCATTGAGTCAGAAGAACAAATAAATATCTGAGTAGAATGTATACCCACATACCATGTCTCGTGCAGGGTATGGTGGGTTGGAAAGAAGTATGATGGAGGAATGGCTGAAGAATGCACAGATGGCTGCTGCTTCAGATCCTACTGGCTACATGCCACCTATTGAGCGTCCTTCTCGCCAAGAAAAATGGAAGGCGGCGAGGATTAAAAAGGGTCAATACGTTACTCCACAGTCTGCTGCTGTTGCTGAGAGGATTGTAAGTAATATTTAAGAATTATGCTTCATTAATTGTTTTTTTCAATTATCTTAAATTGAATTTGTTGCTTTAATGATATAGGATACACTTGAGGAGCAATTATCTCAAGGTACATTCATCCCTCAAGGACGGATGGATATCTTGGCCACTGTTATTGGAAATGCTAACCATCCCGGAAGAGTCCGAGGGACCCCTAAAGGGATTGGTATTAAAGAATTTTTTGGCTTTGCTTCACGGAGAAGCACTAGATCATCCTCCGCTAACATGGTATCTAAAGAGGAGCTTGACCAACGACTACAGGAAGAAATAGAGAGAGTTCGAGCTGAACTAAGTCAACAACACATGGCAAAGATGCAAAAGATATGTGACGAATTCGATGCCAAGTTTCAACAGACTCTGATGATGATGGGTACGAGTGGATTCCAGATGCCCCGAGTATCTGAACCTTCCCAGGTAATAATCACACATCTTTTTAAATCTTCTAAAGATTCATTTGATCTATTTAAACTTATTTAATGTTTCTTAACTAATTTCATATTATGTTTCAGGGTTCACCTGTGATAAAAAGCGAAAAGGGCAGTAATAATCAGACACAGCCACTGACAGTGTCTGACCCTGACCCTAGCCCTGACCCTGTCGAAGACAATGGGATGCCGTGTTCTCTCTATGTGGATTATGAAAATTTACCTGTTCATGGTGCTAGTGGTCGAGCATTCATGGGCACAACGATTCACGGCAACAAAATTCCGAGCAATCAAGCAGGGTGACAGTGGAGAGGATTGTTCGTGGTCAGGGGGTACACCAGTGCCCAATCCTACTAATGAGGTTCGACTCTTGGCCCAAGCTAAAGGACATTTCATTTTGTGGCCAAAGAGACTTATTGCAAAGCCAATGGTGAAAAAGGCGGCAGCAAAGAAGGCCACAACGAGCGTATCATCTGATCCTGTACTCTTGCCTCTTCTTGGTGATGTTGCGCTTATGTATTCCAGTTTGGAGGTTCTTCATTCCATGGTGCCAAACACGGATAAGCCTGTGACTTTCAAGATGCCGTTGGGGGTTGTGGGTCCAGATATAACATACGACTTCACCATTGACAAGAGGGACCTCATTCAGTTCCTCAACTTTGAGGAGCTTGATATAGCCTTCATGTAGCTCGCTATTTTGTAAGTTACAATATTATTTTCTTATTACATATTATACTTCATGCATGTCCTAATGTTTTTTACTTGAACAACAGGCACTTTAATCAAATCTGTCAAAACGGAGGACTTGAAGGAACATATGGCTTTATGTGTCCTTAAAGGGTGCAGAAAGAATTTAATATTGTGGAAGCAAGGTCAATCTACATTATGACCACAATGACTCAGACCAGAAAGCTAACATATTTTGCACCTTACGTGGAAAGGTAAGTGTATTATTGTATTTGAGATATACAAGTTGTATGTGTCGGGTTATAATTAACATGGTTTGCCTTTTGCAGTTATCATTGGACTCTAATTGCTTATGCCCCTTTTGACAATAAAGTTTACTGGTTCGATTCACTCTGTGGAAGTCCATCCGAAGAAACCAAAGATGTTATCGACACGTTAGTTTTTATTTATATATTTATTACTTGTGAAGTTTATACAAGCATGCTCTAATATCATTTTCTCTTATAATGTTGATAGGGCTTTTCATACTTTTAATGTTGTGGCGATTAAACAAAATAGACAAGCACCAACATGGATTCTTCTAAAGGTATATGTTGTTTTGAACTAACTTTTAAACATTTTTGGATGAATTAAAGTTAATGTTTATAATCAATAATGTCTAATATTCAATTTTATATCTTATTTTTTTAGTACCGTTGTCAACAAGGACATGTTGAGTGTGGATATTATGTCATCCGCTACATGAATGACATAATTGAGACAGGAACGACTGAGAAATTAGACGAGGTAAAGATGAGTTACGTTGCATGACGTTCTTCAATTCATTTCACATTTTTGACTAAGTTTACTATGTTATTTTTGATTAACAGATATTCCAAAATACTGCGTCATATCTCATGGATGACATCAACTTGATGAGGGACACTTTGTCAATAACATTGGTAGAAAAAATTAAAATTTAGCTTTCAAATAGATAGGTTATTTCTCAAAAAATTTATTGTTAGATGTTTTCTCTCGGTTCCCTCTTATATGTACATGTTCATGATTTCTATTGTACAGAGAAGTAGTTACTTCTATTTCAGAATTGTTGGACCTAGCCAATACGTGTTCCTTAGTCTTAATTAACCACTTAATTCTATTATATTGGCCGGTTTCCCTATTTTCGAATTGTGTAAAAGAAATTTCAATGCTGTATATATATTAACTAGCTAATTGATCTTGTTCTGCGTGATCTGCACTGCCTACATTTATTTGGAACTGTAAACTGCAGGGTGGTAAAAATGAAAATCAAGCAAAATTTAAAAAAAAAAAATGTATTTTTAACGGCGGTTATATATATAACCGCCGTTAAAAGTATATTCCACAGCGGTTTATAAAAAAACTGCCGTTGAAATTTGGTTTTTTTATAAACCGCCGTGGAAAATGGATTTTCCACAGCGGTCAAATGTAAAACCGCCGTGGAAAATGGAGTTTCCACGGCGGTTAAATAGAAAACCGCCATGGAAAATCAACTTTCACGGTGATTTGAAACCGCCGTGTTTTCTTTACCTTTCAACGTTGCCTTTATCAACTTTGCCTTCAAAACCGTCGTGAAAAGCCTTTTTTCTGGTAGTGGCGTGTGTATTTTGAGATTTTAATAGAATAGCAACATCATTCGAGGTTATGGAGCCATATAATATTCGATGTCGTCAATTTTGTCAGTGTTGCAAGGTGAATTTGATTGACAGAAAATGTAATTGTGAAGAGTTTCAAGTAGAAAAGTTTCCATGTATGCATGCCATTGCTACTTGTGCATGAGTAGGCATAGACCATTTACAATATGTGAATCATATTTTTCGAATGGAAACTATGCAAATGGTTTATAATAATGAGTTCCAACCAGTGGGAGATGAGATGTACTGGCCACAAATTGATTGTCCTCTTCTAATACCTAACCTATCAATGATTAGAGATAAAGGACATCCTTACTCAAGTCAAATACAAATGAGATGGATTGGACCACACCTAATGAACCTAATAAGTGTGGATTATGTCAACAAGTTGGTCATAACCGCTCTACTTGTCCACAAAGTATAGCATCTCGACAGTAAATTATGTATTTCACTTTTTGTAATAAAAACATTATGTTTTATGAAGATTATATTATAATTAGTTTGATTTCTTTTACATTATTTGGAATTTGTCCTTTACCTTATGTATAGACTTTTAAAATGGCACAACCTCCAGAAGAGGTAATAAATCTTGGCCCAGAGGATAACTCTCTTTTATACTTGCAAACCCAATATATTTCTGAACATGTGTGGAATGATAATGTAAGTAAAATCTATTTCTAATGAACTATTTCATTTATGTTTTCATGATAATATTTTTTCTCTTTTCCACTGTAGTTTAATAGGGTCCTACATACTAGACAAGTCATGTATGCTAATTAAATGATTAACCCACCTAATCAAATAATTGAATATCTTATATTAGCTGGATTTTATGGTATTGCTTGAGTAGGACAGTTTGATTATGATCGAGGTTTGGTCTCAGTACTTGTTGAGAGGTGGCATCCTGAGACTTATACATTTCACAATACACGTGGAGAATGCACCATAATATTAGAGGATGTAGCTAAACAATTTGGCCTTCCATGTGAAGGAATAACAGTTATTGGCCGAATTGACTTTAATTGGCAAGACATGTGTGAATGTCTTCTAAGTATTAGACCACCTGTAGAAAGACTAAATGGGCAACAACTACTTATAAGTTGGTTGGAAGAGAACTTTAATCACCTATTTGATAATGTGGATGATATAAAAGTTCAACAATTCACTCGTGCATATATTCTCAAGTTGATTGGTGGATATCTCATGCCAAATAAATCGGGTAGCAGCGCATATCTAATGTACCTTTCACTGCTTTATGATCTTCAGGAAGTTGGAAAATTTAGCTGGGGATTGGCAGTTTTAGCTTACTTGTATAGAGAATTATGTAATGCTACTAACCTAACTGAGGATGGGGTTAGAGGATTGATATGAGGGGGTACGGACCGGCTAGAATCAAATAACGAACATACGGTTGATCTAGGTAGAACCTTAAGAGAACCTGTTTCTTACAACCCTAACCATGAAGACACCACAAGGTAGATCAATCCCTTGATACTGTGAAGTATTCTCACGAGAATATAAGGATATAAAAAAAGCTCACATAGAACACTCTAGAATCAGTATCTTAAGACATAAATGCTAGGGATGATGCCTCATTAATTATTATTTGACTATGGGAGGCATCATTTATTACATAGAAATAAAAGGAAATAACTTAAACCTCGAGAACAAGTATGCTATTTGAAAATAGGAAACTAGATCAAAACATGATCTTCTAGAACAATTCTTGACCAAAAAAATGAATTAAATCATAATCAATTCATAATGATGCCTTCTTGACCTTCCTGAATGTTCTTGGACCTTCCAAATAGATCTTCATAAATGCTATTCACATCTATAAGCATGTATGGGCTTTTAGACATCCATTTGGGCTTGAATATAGTTTAATCATGTTCTGAAACTCTCATGGTCCATAACACAATGCATTTGGGCCCCAATTTAAAAGATTATAACTTCAATAGGCTCTTCAGGCACATATAATTGTGTTGGGTCTTTCATAACATAGGAATTGACTTCAAATGTTCCTTTTAGGTTCTTAGAATGTGCTCTTATCCTCCTTAAGGTCCAAGTGTCCATACTCTAATGACTCACATTCCATGGTGGCTTTCGAGGTGGCCTATCACATGTTACTTCAAGCTTTGTATTTGTAATTGTCTATATCATTATCCAAGCAATGATCCATGTCCTCCTCCATATTAGCATTCTTGAGTCATAAATTACTTGAATACTCTGGAGGGCTCGTTGGGCCTCTAACTAAATGAGTGCTATTTGGGCTTCATGACCTCCATATTGAATGCCTTCTGGTATGCTATCATTGACGCTTATCATTACTTCATTTATGGACATGGGATCGTTCTCCTATGCTAGCACCACAACAACCGTTGTATCCAAATCCACAATCTAATATCTACGCTCTCTTACCTCCTCTGGGTTTTGGGTATGCTAAATTTATTCACCAACTATTTGTTATGCTCTTATATTATTAAAATTATATAATTTTTAACATTACCTTTTTGTAATAACAGATGAAAAATTGTGAGACAAAACCCCCATCCAATTGCTGTGTCTTTACTCTGATATGCCTGTTCATTTGAGAAATTACTACACGATCCAATTACAAGGTAGAACAAATACAAATTGGATTGACAAATACTCAAACTTCCTTCAAGCATGGGATGGATAGCCACATGCAATTGTTAATGCTCCTATAGCGCTTGATGAACTTGATTGAACATCTCAATAGATGCAACGGTATTGGAGACATACAAGACGATGGATTCAACATATTAATAGTGATATAGGTTGCGAGGAAAGTTTTTCATCTTTCCACCATTAATATTGTTTTCTTTTACACAAAAAGTGTTATTATCTTATATTTTATTATTTATTTTAGTCTAACATAGTTGAAGAGTTATACAGGCTTTTAATTAATTCTCGTTCAACATGCTCTAGTTGTGTTGATTATCGAGACAGCGTTGCTCGCGATCAACGTAACATTTTACTTGCACTTAAAGAATAATGTTTTAATATGAACCCTCAGCCCGCTCCACCAACGATTGAGTTGCCTTAGCCACAAATTCCTCATGAGAGACCAAGCAAGTGACATGACAGTTACTTGTCTACCCAACCTATAATTGAAAATGTAAATGTAAGGGAACAAGAACCTCTAATTTTTACTCAGGCTTGTGATATATCACCGTCACCATCATCCCCTTTCAACTCTGTCGATCCTACACAACTTGAGTCTCATTACTTGGCACCCTCATCATCATCCCCTTCCAAGCTATGAATTCAAGAACACCATTAGGGAAAATGATATAGGGAATCTTCGAGCTGGTGATTGGGTCTAGTAATGGCAACTAGAATGCAGCCATCACCAGTGGGAAACCCTTAGAGAGTGAGCAGAGAAAATAGAATTAGGGTTTCGCTCTAGACTCAATATACTGTATGTTCTTTTTCACTATCAGAAAATTAACTTTAATTAATTGAGTCAATTATCCACCTTGGCCTAGACACAAAATAACTACGGGTCACACTTAGGATATTTATTAATAATCCTAATTAATATCTATATAGTTATAATATAATAAATATCTGGTATTCTCCCACTTGGCCCGAATGCTCAATGTCATTGCCCTATCAAGGTTAGCTAAGGTCATACCACAAGAATCATGACGATAAGTCCTCTTTATCGAGTATTACCTTCCATGTATTACAGGTAATATCCTTACTTAATATGTATCACTATTTGAATAAACTTAATATTTATTCGATTCCTATCTCAATGTTTATCAATTTCAATATCATAAATGTACACAATCATAAAATTAGAAATAATAAACTATAAATTTGATTTCATGGCTCATACCTTAACTAATCAAATGAAGGACAAAGTCCTATGTGAGATATATGTAAAACAAAAACGTTGAGTTTCAACCTTTTAGTCAAAGGATCAACTAGCATATCATTTGTACTGATGCGTTCAACCAAAACTTGGCCATCCTGAACTCTTTCTTTCAAGCATAGGAATTTAAGTTCAAAAAATTTACTTCGACTTTTATTCCTTTTGTTATTTGCTATGGCCACTGTAGTAGTATTATCATAGTACATTCTGATTAGCCTAGAGATTAAGTCCACAATCTTGAGCCCAGAATGAAATCCTTTATCGAGATTGCTTGTGAACTTGCCTCAAAACATGCAATGTACTCAGCATCACTAGTAGAAGGAGCTGTTTGTGTTTGCTTTGCACTGTTCCATGATACAGCTCATTCTGCCAATAGGAAGATGTAACCGGTTATAGATTTATTTATATCTACACATCCTCCAAGATCTGAATCTGAGTACCCAATTACTCCTTTGGTCCTATTTATAAGGCACTTCCAAAACATTTCATATAGACAAAAAAAAACCTTAAATTGCATTAACTCTTCATTAAAATATAGCAACTTTCCAACTTAACCCCTATTTAATATACACTCCTTTCAAAAAAAATAACTATCTACACTATAATAAATGAAGGACGATATGATACATTCATGGTAAAAATTTAATGAAATGACTTATAAATAGGACTAAAAAAATATTCTCTCTCTGCTCTATAAATAGGACCAAAGAGTACTTCCAAATTATCTATTCTTCTATGAGTGAGCATATAGTGTTTAGTACCTTGTAGGTACTTGAACACCTTCTTTGCAGCTATCCAATACACTTCCCCAGGATCACTTTGATATCTCCCTAACATACCCATAGCAAAAGTGATGTCAGGTCTTGTATAAGCCTGTGCATACATCAAGCTTCCTACCGCTAAGGCATATAGGACCTTTTCCATTTATTTTCTTTTAATCTCGATTTTGGGACACTAATCTGAACTAAATTTATCTCCCTTTTTAATAGGAGCTACACTAAATGAATAGTTCTTCATTATGAATTGTTCAAGAATCTTGCCAATGTAAGCTTCTTGAGATAAACCTATAAGACCTTGGGTTCCATCTCTATGGATCTTTATGCCAGTGACATAAGATGCCTCACCTATGTCTTTTATGCCAAAACTCTTGAATAAAAACCATTTCACCTTATGCAATAGTCCCATATCATTTATAGCAAGCAAAATGTCATCCACATACAAAATCAAGAATATGATCTTATTCCCACCAGCCTTATGGTATATACAGTTATCCATGATGTTCTCAACAAAACCAAATGATATGATCACTTCATGGAACTTCAAGTACTACTACCGTGAAGTCTATTTCAAACCATATATTGACTTCTTTAGCTTGCATACTAACTGCTCTTTATCTTCTATAATGAATCCCTCAAGTTGTTTCATATAGATTTCTTCTTCTAGTTCACCATTGAGGAATTAAGTCTTCACATCCATTCAGTGTAACTATAGATCAAAATGCGCAACTAATACTATGACGACGTAGAATGAATCTTTCTTGGAGACAAGTGAAAATGTTTCCTTTAGTCGACTCCTTCCACTTAAGTAAATCCCTTTACAACCAATCGAGCCTTATATCTATCAATGTTACCTTACGAGTTTCTTTTGGTTTTGTAAACCCATTTACAGCCAATGGCCTTAGACCCACTAGGCAACTCTGTAAGATCCCAAACATAGTTGTTTGCCATAGAATTCATTTCATCGATCATAGAATCATGCCATAATTTAGAATTCACACTCTTTAAGGCTTGAGTAAACGTTAACGGATCATTTGCAACACTTACATTACAGTCAACCTCAGCAGACACTACCAAAAAAAAAAAGGCTTTTAATGGCGGTTATTAGTGGTTTACACGACAGTTTTGGAGGTGAAGTTGATATAGTCGACGTTGAAAGGTTTACAAAACACGGTAGTTGGGAACCGCTGTGGAAAATTGATTTTCCATGGCAGTTATGTAAAAAAACGTCGTGGAAAGTTAACTTTCAACAGTGGTTTAATTAATATCTGCCATTATATTGTAATTTTCTATGGTGGTTTTTTACATAAATGCCGTGGAAAAGAGTTTTAACAGCATTTATTTAAATAACCACTGTTAAAATTTAATTTACTTTTTTAAAAAAATTCTACGTGATTTTCTTTTTTACCAACCTGCAGTTTACAGTTCTAAATAAATGTAGACAGTGCAGGATATGCAGAACAAGACCATTTGAACAATTAATCAACTAACTAGTTAATATATACAACAAGCATTGAAATTTCTATTAACATAGGCACAAAGCAAAAATAGAGAACCAAGAGAACTAATTAAGGGGAACCTAAGACCAAAAAACACGTATAGGAACCAAGAGAACCAGCATCTTGAAAGAAAAGTAACTACTTTTGTCTGTACAATAGACATAATGAACATGTATAGGAGGGAACCAAGAG